CAGTGATCGCAACGAAAATTATTGTTTATATTTTTTTACCAATTAACACTAAATTAATTAAATCAGTCTGAACGTTTTAGTTTTAGGTATAAATAATGACTCATAGGTTATTCCTGCTGACTGGAGTTTTCCTTTCAGTCAGCAGAAATGAGGAAAACAAGAGCAGGACTTCAAAGGTTCGTCTCCTCATCATGCTGCTCTCACATGAATGATGCTGAAAGGGGAGGATGTTCAGCCGCTGCATCAGCTCACCTTCTTCTTGTCTTTCTGTGCGGGGGGGAGTAAGGCCCTCGAGCGCTCCGCAATTTTCTGCAATAGAACCAAATGAACAGACAGGATCAATAGAACTATTCTCCTCCATTTTTACCGTTTGTTTCTATGCTGCATCACCGCCTCCATGCATGAGGAAAAATAACTGCTGTCTGGTTTATAAATCATCACATTTGGCCACAGCATGGCCTTCAGTTCCAGATACCTTCTGGAGGTCTGCGTAGCGCTGCACAGAATCGGAGAGTTCGGTCTTCAGTCTGGTCAGGCGAAGACGATCCTGCTGCGCAACCAAAGCAGATTGTCTCAGATTAGCACCAGTACTGTGTAATCTGTTGTTTATGGCTGTAAATGAAGAGCAGCAGGAAATACCCGTGAAGAGCCGCTGATTATATCTGAGAGCTGCTTGATGAGCTGACTGGTGCTGGTGATGACTTTGTTGGTTTGCTGCTGAGTGGAGTGTCTGCTCAGACAGACAGACAGACAGACAGACAGACAGACAGACAGACAGGAAGTAAAGGACAGAGACGTTAGAAATCTGTGAGGCCACTTTATTAGGTACACAGGGTTAACTCTAATTGATGATAATTAGTCGGATCTTTTTCAGAAACTCCTACATCAGCTTCAGAAACCAGTTTCGTTTTTATTCACAGTCCAACTGGAGATTTTCTATAAAACTATAAAACAGTTGAGTTGTTCAACATGAACCTCTTTGTCAGTCCCAGTTCAACGTATGGAGCCCCTGTCACACCTTGACCATTTAGACCAGCGTATGCCTGACTTAACTACGTTTAGTATAAGTTATAAGCGCGCTGAAGTACGCTGGAACACGTCGACATACGGTGAGTACCTCGAGAACTTTTGAACATGTTTCAAATGTCCCGCCATATGCCAGCAGACGTGGGCCATAAGTTCCAGGTCAGTTATCTGATGGTTCACATACCTTAAGTGTCAGCTGCTGTATAATGGCGTATTGGCAGCGTTTTGGTATAAAGGGGGTTCACAGGAGGAAAACGTCAGTTCTCCTCCAGACTTCATCCCCATCATAGGGTGAACCAGAAGGTGAGTGATGGATCCTCCCTGCGTTCACGCCCACCACCAACACACCTACTGGCAGACATGACGCTCAATCAGCTGACACCAAAACCCTTTTTTCTTTGTCTTTTTATTTATTCTTTTCTTTGGTGGGCGGTAAACAGCGGCTAGGTTAATACTGCGATCAAAGACATCTTTTAAAGCACATCCAGCATCTCCGGACGCATCGCTGCCCCCTTCAGGAGCAGTGATGCTCCTGAAGGGGCAGCTTTAACTGCTGCAGCATAATGCCCAGGAAATGATGTCTTTGCATCATTTCCTGGGCATTATGCTACCGTGCATTATGCAGAAGTTAGGCTGTTGTTGGACATACACTCTGGACTCGTTATGAATACTCTATGTATATGGCCTATATTGAAAAAATACATACCTCAATGACTCCCATTAAGGAGCCAGGGTGGAGCTGGTTTTCCAGTTTCAATGTTTTCTAAGCCATTTCAAGGCTTTTGCTGCACTACTCTAGAAAAGCCTGGAACTCCACACTAATCCAGACATTTTGAATTGAGAAAGCTTTCTGGATGGGAAGAAAAATGTCTTCAAACTTGGAATATAAATTTAGGAGGCTTCTTTTTTAACTTTAACTTTAAAGTTAACCATTCATGATCATTCATTTCCGTCCTGAAAAGCTTCATTTTATTATTTTAGCCCTTTAAAGGCAGGTTT